CCCCCCCACTCCTCCTCTGCTTCATCTTCCCTCCTCCCTCCCCCCCATCACCACCGTCTTCTCTCTTCTCCAATCCTCCCCCCCCCCACCGCCTCGCTCACCTTTCTCTTGTCTTCCCTCCTCCATCACCCCCCCCACCACCACCTCTTCTCTCTTTTTTTCCCCCCCCCTCCACCACAACCACCACCACCGCCACCACATTTCTATTGTTTTTCCTACACCACCACCACATTTCTGTTGTTTTTCTTTCCACCACCACAACCGCCACCACATTTCTATTGTTTTCTTCCACCACGTCCACCACCTTTCACTCCAAAAGTCCCCGTGAACACTGCGAGAACTCTAATAAGTACGGGACATTGATCATGAAATGTCCTAAATGCCTTTGGCACGATTACTACAAGATTTGTCCTATAAGCGATCACCAGATTCCCGAGGGGAGACATTACATGAAAGGGGCTGTCTTCGGTGTCGCGATTGCGGAGCAGTTACACACAAAAACGCGAAGACGTTGGAAACCAATTTCTATTCTCCTTCTACAGAGGAGAACGAAGATGAAGATTAATTAATTTCCATTCCTGTGTATTTGACTCTTTTTGTCATTGTTTTTTAATAAAGTTTTTTAAAACGGTATCTCTCTTGTGTTTTTATTGCTAGCAATTATGAGTCGCGTGTTTTAATTGATCCTTGTTAAGTTATTTGTTTTATAATAAAACGTCAAGATTCTCTGTTGAATTTCATCTAAAATGTTGCCATTTTCCCTCACATTTTCTTGCCTCTCAGGAAGTAGTTTTTTGTTAACGCTCCACGTAGAATTTCGTCTGATTTCTTCTTCTCTTTTCATGCCTTCTTTTATTTAGCAATCGTTAATCCAGAAGTTGACTGAATGGCAGACTGAGAATACCCGGTTGACCAAAGAACTCTGTTATGATTTGTTGTCTAAATTGAAACGACAACACCTGGATCCAATCCTTCGTCAACTACAAGGGCATGGTGGATCGAATTTGTCTTTCGACGACATAATTGGAGTATACCATCGCATCAAAGACGACTATGAAGGACAAGCGGTTGGAGCAAAAGATGTAATCGCAGCAACTTTTTTTGATTTCCAACCTGTAAGTATTTCCTCACGGTTAAACGTACTTCATTCCGCATTTGACCTTGTTATGGCTTGTTCTGGGGTAAGGTTAGCATTATGGCTTTTCCTTGTCCTTTTTTTATTTTGTCTCATTATGTTTTTGTTATTGTTGTGTTGGTTTTTGTTTGTTCTATTTTTCCAGTTCGTTATGTCCTCGCTCATGTGCGTTGGTCAGTTCTTTGGCGTGATTTCCATAGAATTCAGACCAGAAAAACCTCCCGTTTCTGGCCAGATGACATTAATTTTCAGTAGGCAGCAGTGTTCAAAACGTCGGATACTGATTGTTAACTGTATTTTTTGTTTCTCCATTGCAGCCGCGAGAGTGGGTAGAAAGTTGCGTCCTTGAAGGGTTTAAGTCATTTTCATGGAAACCTAATGACGGATTTTTCTGTCAAAAGAATGCTTTTGAATTCGACTGTCATTCTTGCTAACTCACGATTATACGACATGATATATAGAACAGACTAGCTTAGAAGCAAGGCTCCCAAACAAGTCCGCATTGAAATCAATAAAACAATTGAGAAAAAAAAATGATGATGATGATTATGATTGTCACAACTATTGTAGGAACTTGCAAGGGAAACAAAGCAGTACCTTGAAATATTACGACAGATGAAACACTTTGATGAAAAAGCAGCACGAGAAATGAGAGTAAAAGCTTATCAAGAGCGAGAGAGAAAGAGACTTGAGGTACGTCTACAGACTAGAGGTTTATTCTGTGATGAAGCTTGTACGAAGAGCAAAAAAAAAAAGTGCGAATCAACCAAACGGCTTTTTAAAAAAACTTGACAAGGATTACCTGCTGATTTTCACACTTGCCGTTTAAGTTCTTAATTGTGAATGGCCCACAAAGTCGAATTGGACATTTTGGATGAAAAATTACTACACTAAGGACACGTTACAGCAGATTATATTAAAAAAAGATGGATGGACGGCTCTCGGTATTAGAGAGCTTTAGCATCAGGTTTTTCATGGAAAACCGCAAACCGCAAAATTGTCACATGACCACGGCCTTGCGGTCAAGTTTGCAGTTTGCAGTTCACGTTTGAACCGCAGCAAGGACCTCTAGCGGTAAGTGATTTACGGCAAGAGTTTTTGCCCCTGAAAATTGTACAGCCTCGCGTTTAAAGGCACAAACTAGCTTTTTGTATCCGTTTGCGATATGTTTGTTGGATTTTTGATCTCGAATCGATGAATTATTCCTGTTTTTTTGGGCGATAAAAGTGATGCACTTTGTCTTGATGAAAAACAACAAGGCGGCACTAAGCAATGAACGCGTAGTTCAAATCAATTTTATATTCCAAGAAAGTGTCTATTACAAGAAAGTTTTCTGTTCTAATCCAGAGTTAAATTTCTTTTTCCATCTTGTTACTGAATTAATTACTTAAAAAGTCTCTGTTTAGTTCCTATTTTTAACTTATTACTCGGCGAATTTCATTATATTTTACCTTAATATTTCTTTGTGACTGGGGAGCCCAGGCTTCATATTCCTTCTGGTTTCTTCTGGGCTCCCTTGCCAACTTACAATTCCTATATGTATTCTTGTATTGTATTATATTTTGGCTAAATACAAATGTAATGAACTGAACTGAACGCGTTGCTAAAGTTTGAAATCTCGGCAATGTGAAAATGCAAACCCGTAACCTGCGGTTTGCGGTTTGCCGTTTCCCATGAAAAACCTGATGCTTAAGGTCTCTATTGTCGATGCAGGTTCGTTATAGGTTAAAGGAATACAAGGACGTTGATCCTTGTTATATCCTTTACGTGAGGAGCAAGGCGAGGTTATTCTGTGAGAGAGGGCGGTGGATTGTAAATTAGTTGGTAAATGGAGGTCATAAATTGGACCATATGTTTTCCCCCAGATACACTGTAAAATGAAAAGAGCCAAATCGACCCCAAAGGCCAAATCGGCCCCAATTTCTCGAGGGCCGATTTGGAACATGCTGGGCCGTTTTGGACAGAAAGAGTCAAAACAGTTCAAGATGGTACCAATTCGGCCCATCTAATTTCTGAATTGGCTACATTAAAAGCTACTTTGGCACTTCCTCTCAATTTGGCCCTTCCGATAGCCAAATAAAAATTCCAATTTGACCCCAACAAGGTCTATGCGGAGCGACCGCCTTTTGCCGTCAAAAGGGGCTCAAGGAGAAGACTGTAAGGTAAATCATGGTTTCGAGCGAACCTTTGCCTCGAGCGAAGCTATAAATCGGAAACAAAACTACAATCACGCTCCCGAATGTTTTGCACATGATTTCACTATCGATAACATTACATGATGCGTCACGCAAACTAAACGCCGGGAGGGCGTTACAGTACAATAATTATCCCTCGGTTCGGTATTGATAGCAAACAAAGACATGTATTTTCTGATTTATAAGTAAAAGGTTTTTAAAATTTCGAACGCCTGCCACGCAGGCTAAAGTACACTATCGAAAACATATTTTAGACACAACTGGTCAGCGGGCTTTCTCTATGCACATGCTCTTTGGTGTCGTCCTTTTGGCGTCCATTTGAAAGTACTGCAACGGTTACGAACATGCCAGTTTCTTTGGGGATCAGGAGTCTTGTATAATACTTCTCGATAGCATCAAAGGACATTCAAGGTGTTGTTACTAAATATTTTCGAACTATGAGCCGTCGTTGATCCACCGCTTCGCTCTTGAACTTCGTCGTAAAGAATCGGAGAAAGAAGCCTCGTGAGGCGCAACGGTTTTCAAGATGAACTGCACAAGTATAACAAACGCTCTCCAAGAATCAAGACTTTGCTGGAAAAAGCCGATAGTAGGACCAGGTAAGCTGCCATGATTCGCTTTCTGTCTACCTAATGCAAAACTCTGAGTTATTTTAACCACGTTTGATTAAACAGAATTCAGGGTCACTCAAGTCCACCCTATCTAATGATAAAGAAATAAGGGTTACAACGAAATAAGTGACCCTGTATTCTGTAGTTTATCCAGTGGAGGAGTTAAAAAGCACTTCTTCCATCCCCTCACTGTCCCCTATATATATATATATATATATATAAGGGGAATGATAAACCGAATGAAAAAACCTTAAAGCCATTTCAACTAAAGAAGATGGTAAAGATGGTGTGGTCTGGTTATACATTTACATTGTAGATTTCAGTACTTGTTTTGTTTTAAAGTAAGTTTTACCTTACCAATGCATTATTTCTCTTGTCTGATAAATAAGTGCAAAATAAATGCATTAAAAATAGAGAAATTTACCTAAGATCAAAATTTGAATTCTCATTTGTTGCCCCTATTTATTTCTAACACAAGCAGTGGAAAGAAGTTGATAAAATATCAAGCAAATTGTGTGATCATGTTCATAATTCTCATGAGCACTCTGTTCTACAAAGCACTGATATTACAAGGAGAAATTTGATACTGATCACTCGTAAGGCTTAAAGGGACAGTGTCCCGATTATGCGCACGCGCGAGCGTCATCTGTTTTTTCTTCAAAAGACAATAGAAATGTCATATTGACTCGACAAGATTTCCTTCCGGACCGCACCGCCGACAGAGATTTGTTGTTTATATTCTCAAGTAATATTTTAGACTTTCAAAGAAGTCTTTCGTCTTATATAAAAATTTGGCTCGCGGTTCGAAGACTTATCGCGATTTTATCGCTAGCTGGGCCGCCTCGCGACCCGAAAATCTCGTTCCGCTAGGCTTTAAAAACATATTTTCTAATTTCAAACTCGTGTCAGAGGTCAGTTGTTCCAAGTCTAGTTATATCTGCCTGATTTGCTCGCGTTATAGCCTCAAACGTTTGAAAGACATAAACAAAAATGCAATCTCAACGCTCGCTCAATCATCAGAAAGGTTAGTCAAAAATTATATTATGATTTCATGGCACTAGTTTTTCTAAACATGTAGCGCCTGTTTGTTTGATTTTGTCGGCCGTTAGGGAGATTCATTTAAAAAAGTTTACTAACGCGTCGTTGCAAAACATTCTGCTTCACTAAGCTCCCCTCCACAAGATCTCCCCAGTCACATCAATGTCTCAATGGTTTCTTTCTTACAGTCTTTATTGTTGCCGTTTCATTTCCGCGTATTCCTTTCACAATTATCTGAGCTTGTATGGAAGCTAGCAGAAGAAATAAGCCTTCAATCGGCATCAAAATGCTTCCAATCTTTTGGTCCTCCGGCCAACGGCAATAAAAGTAACGCCAAAAAATCCAGATTTTGCCCAAATCGAAACTTAAAAGGAACAATATATCATTGATCTGTAATCCTTAGAAGTTTTAGTGTGGTATTGAACCCGGTCAAGCGCGATGCAAACGGATTTTTCAAGGTTCTCTTACTCTCCTCGCATCTTTTGATTTCGCGACATCCTGTCCAAAAATCAAAGTTTGGTACATGCGCAGTAACGGGATACTGTTCCTTTAAAGGGTTGAAAGAATAATGTGAATTATAATAATAAAATTATGTATAAAATTAGGAAATAGAATTTTAGGTTGCAGAATTCTGCAAGTGTGATTGAGGTAAGAGGGTCTGTCAGTCAATTTGATTCCGGAATTACTCAGAACAGTGTGTAACTAAACTTGGTGCTCCAAGGAAACCAGTTTTAATTTAATAACATTTCTCCTATGGCAGAAATAGAAAGGTGGGCATCCTTTTGGTAGTGAACAAGGTTCTGCGGCATTGATCGGAGAGCTAAGAGGACTTCGGGAGGAAGTTATCACTATTGTAGAGGTAGGTGTTTTGGGAATACAATGTTTTTCGTGATAGTGTGATACAAAATACCACAGGAGTACTACAAACTAAACTGTACATTGAACCCTAAATGCTTGGAAAGCCCAGATACAAGTGGAAATCAGACAAAATGGAGATGCAATTTAGCTTTTATTATGAGGGTATCCCTTGGGGGCCATTCCTGTCACCAGACTACACCAAATCTCACAGAATACTAATGGCTACATAATACTTAATGAATTTTGATTTACAGCTGCAAGATTTCTTGAATGGTGGCAAGTACATATACTAAAATAATCTTCTTGTATCAGGACATGCACACTGTAATTACCTCCTCAATGATGTGTGAATGTATTAGACGTAATTATGCTATCATTCTTTTTCGCATAACATAAAGAAAGCATAATTTCAACAAACTATAATTTATACAGTATACCATACATGCATACCTGAAAACTGGAAAGAAGTAATTAAACCAACATTTTTTTGACAATAGTATTGTTATGACCATACTGACTTTTTATGTGAACGCACTGTTTGTTGTGTTTTGATTATTGTTATTATCATTTCTAAAATTACACGTTTGTTTTTATTGCAGAGAGATGCAGATGTTGACAGGAAAATTCAGGATTTTGTTGTGACAAAGGGAGGCATCATTTGCCAGCTTCCTCAGAAGAAGATTGATGCAGTGATAGTATTGCTTGGGTGTTTTTATGTATTTAATGTATCATACACCCAACGCAAAGCCATCTTGACTTTTCTAGATCAGGCGTTGCTTGAAAGTGGACTGGGGTAGACACTTGTCAATGTTTCCTCCCTTTTTTAATGACTTGGCAAATGCCTCAGTTCTCGTGAAGTGTAGCCCAATTCTCGAATTTTTTTTCGTGAAAGTATTCTTTCACCCTTATAGACCAAGATTTGGCAAGATTTTTTAAACATAATATCTGTGGATTAAAATATAGTTTAAAACATTTGCCAAGTCATTAAGGGCTGGTTTACTAGTACGATACAGAGTCAGAAATGTAATCAAAAGCATAGAGTGTTGATCTAGATAAAACACTAACAGGGTATAATTACTCCAATTATGACTGCTTCACTTTTGATCTAGTGAAAACTATAAAGCATGGGAACAACAATTTTGACTGGTAAGTAGTTTATCCTTCAATAATTCCATCCCTGCTTAATCTGGTTTTCTACATCATAAGCAGAATCTGAAGAATAGAAAGTTGTGATGACTCCAATTCCATCATGCTTCTAGTTATGACTTCCCTTGCAACTCTGATTTTTGATTTTCACTAGGTGATAAGTGCTCTTACTAATCTGACTGTGACCCTGACTTTGACACGAGTGAAAACCAGCCTTCAAAAGGATTAGGTCAAGTCATTTAAGGCTCGCACTAGCACTTTTTTTTTTGTCAAAAGGGGAGTTATAAAAGAAACCTTAATTGACTCTAATTCTGGTGAGCTTTAATTAATGAAACCCTTTACAACTTCAATTTTCGATTTTCACTATAGGTTTTAAGTGTTACTATGATGCTGATTATGTCTTTTGTGAAAACCGTTTTAAGAAGTAGTTACTTTGATCGCGCCGAAGACAAGTGTCTCCCTTGGCCAAATTTAATTCCTCCAATAATTCTAAATGTTCAATCTAGAAAAGTTGAGATTAACCAAAGGTAATGTTACATAAATAGGTTGTGATGCGAGTTGTTATGATGTACACAGATCACAGTAACTTATTCAGAACTGAATAAATGTTTGAATAAGCCTTATAGTTTGGTTTCATTATTTGTCAATACCTAGTTAAGGGAAAAAATCTGTAGGCCCCCAACCAAATTAAAAAAACCATAATGGCCCAATATGGGGCTGAATAGGCTACTTTTGGAGGGGTAGTTTTTGAGAGGGCCAAAATTTGAGGGGGCTGTTTTGGCTACTGGAAAATCCAAAATGGCCCTAGTGTTTTCCATATTGACCCTTTACATGGTCTAATTTGGCGCCGATGCAAGGGTCAATTTAGCCTCAAATTTTGGTACCAAAACAGCCCCATCTCAGTGGGGCTGAATTGGCCCCAAAAACAGTACCATTCTGGACTCACCTGTTTCGGCCCCATTTTTGGGGCCAAATTGGCTCTTTTCATTTTACAGTGTAATCATCCAAAATTTACTACAAGTTCAGAATAAACTGTTTACAAAAAGAAGTACATGCTACACAATCGCCCTGGTATTGTTAGCATCCTACAATGACTACAAAGTGACAGTTTTCATATTCGAATTACGTTTATTTTCCCTCTAAATCTAGCATTATAACATTGCCTAGAAATATGATGTGTAAAAATAATCGAGAATTGCTGACACATAATCAAACGCATTACTTAACCTCAATTTATCACCGTGATTACTTTAGGAAGAACAGCTGCGACTTCAGCAAGAGAATCAAGAACACAAAAACGAGGTATCATATACACTATCTATTTCTTTCTTTCTTTCTTTCTTTCTTTCTTTCTTTTTTTTTTCATTGCTATCCAATAAACGATTTGTAACCTGTACCATTTGCTGTTTTTGAACAGTCAGGCTACAGACAAGATTGGACCTTGATTATGTCTTGCTGGAGTATAGATATAAAGATATACCAATAATACCTTGCGCAAGCTTGGCAGGCTTGACACCTACTCTGAAACTCGGACGTGTTTGTAACATTTTGATTTTTCCATTTGGCACTGATTCTTGGGTGGAAAAATGGCTTTCCCGTCTTGCACCCTCAGCTGTGCACCTGGGACGGCTTTGATGCATATGGTCAGATGTTTCACATCCCCTGATACTCAGGCAAAAAATTTAAGATGGAATCCTTCAGGAAAAAAATAGTTAAGTGTAACAACACCAAAGACTATTTCCTGATGGATTCCGTCTTAAAAAACGTTAAAAAAAAAACAAGACGGGGCATAAATTTCCTTCCAAGAAAGATGATTAATTTACTTAGCATTTGAAAAGATATTGGTTAGAGCATAAATGACGAAAGCCTTTAGCCTGGTTATTGTTGGCTGTCTTCACATCTAATGACCTTCAATAGTTTTTTTTCTTTCCTTTTTTTTTTCTTGAAGATGGAAATGTTGATCGCTAGGCTAGAGACAGAGAGAGCACAATATCGGCAGCAGATGCAAAGTGAGCTGGAAGCACAGCGAGTTCAAATGCAGAACATGATGGCAGCAAATATGAAGCAAGCCGAGCAAGAAAGAGAGGCCTTCATCAAGGATAACCAAGCCTTAGAGGAGCGCTTCCTGGAAGTGCAAAGATCGAACGAAGAAAACATGAAACTCATAAGAAATATGACCGCTTTAATTGCAAAGCAACATGAAGAGAAGGAGGTTCTTAGAGAAAATGCCAAGGAACTGCCCAAAGATAAAATGGAAGCCTTTTTAAACGAAATGAGTGAAAGGCACGCAGATGAGGTCGGGGCCTTGCTTAAAGAGACAGAGGGTCAGTTTGAGGAAATCAACAAGTTAAAGCAAGAAACCAGTGATGAAGAGGATGAAAATGTATGCCACAAAAAAATGGATGAAATACCAGAGATGATTAAATTGAGATCAGAGGCTGTGGGCAATGTGCAGAAAAAGATAGCCGAGACTCGTCAGGAACAAGAAGAGGCTTGGATATCAAGTAAATTAAAGAAAGGGTTAAAATTTATTGCGCGAACAGCAAAACCAATTGGTTCAATTATTTCTCTTGTTCAACCAGAAACAGCGCCAATCGTTGGGCCAGCAAGTGTTGCTATTGGTAGCATCGCTGACGAATTGTCAGATGTTTGCAGTGTCATGTGAAGTTGAGAAAGCCAAGGAACGTGTTACCTATTTCATCGCTTGGAAAAAACAACAACACAAAAATCAGTCAAGCCAACTGAGCAAGTGACACTCCTACAATAATAGCTTTAAGACAGTGCAAAAATTTGATGACTGAAACTTTTACGCGACCTTAATGCATAGTGATTGTAAATGTTTACTTTCATTGATGTTCGATGTCAGCCTTAAGATTTAACACTTTAATATTTTTCGTATTATCTTCTCATGATTAGGGGCAAACGTATAGGAGAGCTTTTTTTATCCTTATTTGCACAATGTATTACAAAATAAATCAAAGCTAAAGCAAAACCATATTTAAACTATTATGTTTCTAAGTTGAGGACATTGGATATGATATATTATACGGCAGTTCTACTAGGTAGATAGTATGCTGAACAACTTACAGCGCTTAACAATGCGATTTGATTTCAATTAATGCAGTTGGAAAGTGATTACCCTTCTGAAAGTACCGTAAAATTCCGAAAATAAGCCCCTCCAAATATACACGCTTTTCATAAGTCTGGGCACCATCTTGAATTTTCAATGAATGACGTCATTCGCGGAAAGATCATACACGCGGCCAAAATGGCTACCAAAGATGAAAGCTCTGTTGACGTTGAATTTGTAGTACTTTGTGTGTTCAAATAAAAACGAATGTTTTTACTTTATATCAAGAGGAATATTTTCTTTATACGATGTCTTTTTGGGTACGTTATCGTAACTTTAAAACTCTCGTACAAAGATATTCCTGCATCGATGATATGAGGGCAAACGAGAGCTGATTGAAATGCAAAAAAATGCGAATTAAAGGTTTGGCTTAATCGTCGTGGCTTACGTCAATAGGCACGAGCTTAACTTCTTCCCAGGTAATCTTTTTTAGCAATGGTTTTGATACTTTTTCATTTTTTATTTAAAAAGCTGAAAACGATTAATTATTACCGCTCGTAGGATGAGACTTGTCAATGAATTACCTATCAGGTATTCATAAAAGCTAATTGAAAGGATTTTTCATGTTGCTATCCTGATCCTTTCAAAATCTACGATAACCGATGTCTATCTCGGTAAAAAGTTTATACTTTTCATCATCAGTTTTTTATGTTATTATGTATAGGTTTTAGCGTAAGAAAGAAGTTGGATAAAAACGTTTATACTACTGTCAACCCTTGCACAGAATAATTTTTCATTCTGGTAAGGCGGAGCTTAGTAATCCAGAAAGCTATCAGTTCAACTCCTGGTTAGAGATGTAGCCACTTGAGAGAGCTGGAGCAGGGATGCACCAATTATTCCAAAGCACTTTACTTACATTTAAATTGTTGAACAAGCAGCGAAAAAATCAAAAAACACCCTCGAAAAGGGATACAGATTTTTATTTGAAAATGACTGTCACGACGATTATTGTAGGCTTATATGGACAATAAATTCATGTAGAGGGGGGTGCTTTAAATTAATGAGGAAGAATGATAGGCCTCACAATGTTAACAGTTGTGATAAATGCTCTTGTACAGCAGGAGGAAATGGTTACTTTAATCACATGTTTTTGTTATATGTGTTTGAATTCACTGAATTCCCAAGAACTGGAATGTGCACAACTCAAAATAGTAGCACAAACGAAGGACCTAGGGTACGAACCCTAATTCATATAATGCATACAAGGCATATAATGTCAATCCTTATTACAGGGAGAAATGCTCAGGGAGAAATGAGGACTTTAAGGTGTCCCTTGTATGCAGCCAGGCAACATACTGTCCAAAATAAAGAGGGGGCAAATTAGTTCTTTCATTCACTTAGGACAATTAACTGTCCTGCAATAGTTTCAACTAAATTAACTGGACAAAAGCTAAGGTTCCACGGGTAGTTAGTTAAACGTCTCTCTCTAATGGAGGCAAACTTCAGTGTTATGACCACTATTCGATCCAATTTGCCAAGACCAGAGCTGTTGATGGCTCCTTTCCTGAATTCCCAATTGAC